CACCTGTCCACGGAGGGGCCCCGCGGAGCGCCTGGAGCAGCACACACTCAACGACCCGGAGCTCCACCCCTCAGCTCCACCTCTGCTTCTGCCCTCTGCTGAGCCCGAACCTCGGGGTGCCAATCCTAGGGGCCAGCCTGGAAGGCACGCCTTTTCTGTTCCATCCAGTTTAATGTGGAAGCTTCTAGCACACGTGGCCCCCGCTCGCAAACCGGCAGACTGGCCATGACTGGGCTCTTGTGCATGGCTCCGGCCAGTCTCTAGACCAGGTCACTCTTCTGGGATCCCGAGCCTTCCTGGCCTACCCTGGGACCATAATCAGAACCGAACCCAACAAAAGACAAATCGGTACTGAGGGGGACACGTTTTTATTTACTTTATTATTATTTTTTAATGCATAACTTTTCTTTCAACGTTTATTTTTTGAAAGAGAGAGAGAGACAGAGAGAAAAAGCGTGAGCAGGGGAGGGCAGAGAGAGAGGAAGACACAGAATCCGAAGCAGGCTCCAGGCTCTGAGCTGTCAGCATGGAGCCCTGGATGGCTCGAACCCATGTACCCTGAGATCCCGACTTGAGCCAAAATCAGACGCTTCACCGACTGAGCCATCCAGGCGCCCCATGGAGGACACGTTTTTAAAAAAATCATTTGGGCAGTCATTGTAACAAATGTATAACGGCCTTCTAGAAAATATCTTCCTTATATTCTCACTTATAATTTGGTAAACACTAAAATATCTGCACGTTATTACTTTTTTTCTTACCAAAAATGCAGGGAAATAGGAACTGCTCTGTTAACTGAAAAATGGGAGGATCTTTCTGGAAGGCAGTTCTACAATGCACACTAAAAGCTGTAAAAACACGTGTCCTTGAAAGGGCAAGTCCACTTGCATGAATACATCATGTAAAGATAAATGGATGAGAATACACACTGACACAATTGCAAATAATTCTGAGCAATTCAAATGTTCAAAATAGGACTGATTAAACAACTCCATTCCTCTGTAGACAGAAAGGCCGTAGATCGGAAAGGAAACCTCCTGCCATCAGGTGACATTTTCTTCTGTATGTTTATCTTTACCTTCCAAATTTATATAGAGAATATATTCAACTTTTGGTAAACGGAGAGAAAATCTTTTTCAATGTTGTACAAAAAAAAGAGAAACCCTGTGAAAGCGTCATCTGAACTCGCGCAGCACTGGCATACTTTAGGGATGCTCCCTCTCGATCCCTCAGAGCTCACAGGGCAGGCCCAATCCCCAGCTGTACACGTTTTGAACGAGAGCTGGCCCAGGCTCTTCACCGGCACCCGTGATGTGGGACGCCAGGTCCCATGACAGAGGTGGGGGCTTGCTCCCACGGCATCTGGCCACCGCACGGACTCCGACTCTCAAAGAAGATACTTTACATCAATGGCTAAAATCAACCAGGCGGTTGTTACGAGGACATGTTTTACAAATCACAAAGGCAAACATACTAGCGTCTTCTGCTAAAGAAATGTCGTAATTGGAAATGCACAAACAGGCTGTAATGCTTAGGCTTAACAGACTTCACAAAAGCGGCCTAACCCCAAAAGAACCACGCACGGGCCCAGCCTGCAAGCTGGCCGGGTCCCCGGCCTCTCCCTCCGCACACGGCACCATCGCAAGCCCCCTCGGCTGGGGTCAGAGCCACAGCTCCGCACTGGCCACTGACACGGATGCGAGAAACACCCCACCAAAAAGCTATCCCAGACACCGGGAACTGAGTCTATTTTTTAGAGTAGAATTAAATGTACAGAAAACGTAAATAATTTGGGGGTCTTTGGGATTTTGAAAGTTTCTACAAAAACTTAAAAGAAACCCAAAGAGTAAACTTTTCTAGGTAACTGCCAATGGAAAAACTGTTACTCGGGACCTAACAGTGTTCTCCCTCACCCAAAACCAACCTACAGAGAGAGGCTGAGATGACAAGTTGTGTCCGAAGGGCTGACACACGCAGGCGCTGCGGCTCTGCTCCCTGGATGTGCGTCACCTCTTGAGTCCTCACCACCCGAATGGCAGCTACGGGTCTGCCTCCATCTCACAGATGGAAAAGGGGAGCTCTGAGGGGTAAGTGAGTCAAGGTCTCCGGCGGGGAGGGGTAGGTGGGGTCCAAGCACAGACAGTCTGGCTCCAGAGCCCCCCCTCCCAGCCTATGCTAGACTGTCTTCCCCAAAGCCGACCCTCACAAGGACACCTGATGACGAGATTATGGCCAAATTGCTGGGACAGGACAGGGGACAAAGGGAAGCTCCCAGCGGACAGCTACAAGCGGACGGCTGACCACACGTGAGAGCAGGTGCTGCGTGAGGACTGCGCAGGCTCAGCTGTGGGACGAGCGGAGTCGACAGAGGAGGTCGGCAGCTCTGGGCCCCACACGGTTTAACCGGCAGGCCACACTTCCAGGGCCCAGCTACTGTCCATGGCCCTCGTGCGCTGGGGACGCCAAGGGATGGCCCGGCACGCGGAGAAGAGGGAACGAGAAGGTGGGTCGCCAGCATGGAGAAAGGGAAAGCGGACAGTGGGGTGTGTGTCCCCACCCCGAATCCAGCTGTGGTCCACGCAGAGCAAGCAGGACACGGCAGACCCGGAGAGGTGCCAAGTGCAATCAACGTGATTGAAAGCGGGGGACGGCCTCCCCCGGAGGAACGGTCGATGACGATGACCACTTTACTCAGGAAAGAAGGGAGCGGAAACATTACCACAAGGGATGTGAAGTGCACAACACGACACCAAGCGTGTGCCAAGCCCTCGGGGCACCTGCACGGGGAGGACGAGAGCCTGCAGAATCCTACCGCTTCCGGCTGACTTGCCAACCCCGAGCCAGGAGCGGCTCCGAACAGAGCCCAAGCCACCTGCTGCTCACGTGCCTCTTTCCAGCCGGAAGGGTGCCCCATTTCTGCGTACTCCTGCCACAGCCAGAAGTATCACAGCGCTCGGGAGACGAGCTGGGGTGGGCGGCAGGGCCACGGAAGAGCGGGCCACCGTGCACGTCCCCATGTAGCCCACTGGCCCCATTTGGTGCGTCGGGACAAGAAGGGATCCGTGGTGGGACCAGGACACCTGGGAGCCGGCATCTGAGGAAATGGTCCCCCCATGCCTACCCTGTGCTGGTGTCCCCGGGCAGGCCTCCCAGATCCAGGGAGCTGTACTTAACGCTTCCGCAGGCTCCCCCGCCCTCCAGCTTCCAGAAGGTGTAAGGACGGGGCCGCAGGGGCCCGGCTCCCTCCCTGCAGGGCCAGCAGCCCTCACCACTCTCCCAGTGTCTCCTCTCCCGCCAGACTGGCCGTGCTGGGACCAGTCAATTTCCTAAGGCGAGAGAAAGCCTCTCGGACAGATTCTTAAATCCTTCGGTTTGTGACAGGAGGGGAACCAGCACTAGAGACTGGCTGCACCACCCTCCGCGGTTTCCCACCCGTGCGCTGTGCCGTAGACAGTGCTTCCTAATAACCCTCCTGGGGTCATCGCTTTGAAGGTACTGAGCGTGAACTGCGTGGCCTCTCCCACACACCCTGCTTCCCACCCCCCCACCCCCCGTCCGCTAAAGGTGACAAAATCTCGGAATCAGGTGAAGTATCTAGGCACACGAACACAGACAGCCCTGTCCAATTAATGAACGGTTACTTCACGGCCCCCTGGTCTGTACGGTCAGATCGGAGAGGCCAAAGCAGATCACCCAAGTCTATGTGGTTAGACGAAGCCAAAAGAGTATCATTTCAAGGTGGAAAATGCTATTTCCCTCATTTGCTCGATTAGGTATCTAGGCAAGAAAAATAATTTGATACAAATTCTTACATTCCTGAGTTTGTAGCTCAGCTAGGCTAAGCATTTCTCCTTTAGAAATCAACTAAAATAATTTCATTTGGGTAAAAAAAAATTGTTTAAATTAAGATTATTCAAACTAAGTGTTAAGGCTATTACTTAGCATTCTAGGATACACAGGATCCAAGTCACCGTATAACGAAAGACACTCCACCATGGTTCGGCTCATGCAGTACAATTATACGCCAGGACCTCTTATAACTGCGGCCCTCGACACGCTGGCAGGGGTGTGACAGAAAGAACGCGAGTCTGGCGTGGAGGGTCTGATGCTGAGACTGGTTGTGTTACTGGGTAAGTCTAACCATTTCCAGGCCCACTTTCCTCATTTGTAAGATGCAGTTCGAACACTCACTTAGTTCTTAACCGGGGAACGGGGTGGGGTGGGGTGGGGGTGTCTACGAATCCTCTGAAATTGTGTGCAAGATTCTATATGTGCATGTGTGCCTTTTTCCGGGCAAAGAAACAAAAAAGGTGAAGACCCCCCCCCACCCCCCACGAGACCGTCAATAAAGTTCCCTTTACTTCACTGCAACGTGTCTGGGTCCGTGGGCCGTGGGCGAGCGCAGCGGGCCTGGAGGGAGGCCATCCTTCAAGGCAGACGCCTCACTAGCGACGCACAGCGTCAAGCCTCACTGCCTGGTCTCCCCCACTCACCCGCACATGCGCACGCGCATTCACGACGTACCTGGCCAAGACACCGTGCTGCTGACGCACGTGGCACAGCCGGTGTGCGTCCCTCACGGTGCTACCCGTGTTTTCACGTGCAAGACAAAAAGACGGTCCTGCAGTAAGACGGAGGTCCACCTACAAAACCTAACACTGCGTGTCCGCCAGGTGAGCTCTCCTTCTCAGGGAAGGCCAGCCCGCCCCCTCCGCCCCCCGGCCCTGACCCCCAGAATAAGCCAAAGGCACCTGAAAAACTTATATGAAGAAACACCTTGCTTCGGGCCACACGAACTCCACCGCGTTGAGAGCGGAAATGACACTTTTGAACGGTTAATTCACGTAAAGGGGAACAAACGGTACGCTAAAAATTAAGAACGTTCAGAAAAAAAAGAAAACTCTTCCGTCAGGCACCAACGGTTCGATGCCTGGGGTTGGGGCTCGGAGTCCTGTGTTTGAACAATAAGGCAGCGGGGAAACGGGGAACAGGGGACTCACTTCCAGGAGCTTCAGCTCCTGCACGCAGCCGTGCAGCAGCTCCAGGGCGCGCTGGGCCACCTCCCACGGCCTCTGCAGGAAGAGGAGCAAGGTGCACTGGCGAGAGAACAGGTAACTGCGCAGGTCCAACAGGGTGGCTTCCTGCCTCTGTATCAACTCCCGCTTCTCCATGTCTATGGGCTTTCGGAGGATCAGTCCGTTCCAGCTCTTCACCGGCTGGCAGAAAAAAGTCAGCCAGTTGGCACCATCTAAACAGACACACATCATGAAAGGCGCTGACGACACATCACTTCACCTCACCGAGGTTCTCGCTCGGGGCTGCGGGACCCCGGGTACCGACGGGCAGCTGAACAACCGGTCGCCCCCTCACCACCGGTCCGCCCCCTCAGCGTTGGCACGGAACCAGTCTAGAGACGCGCGGACCGGGTAGTGACGGCCCGCGGCCCGCCCGGTACTCAGCAACTGATGACAGGCACAAGGCAGCGCGCCCGGGCCACGAGGCACACCGGCGTCCCGCACCCAGGGGGTCACGAGCAGGTCGGGAGGCAACGGGAGACTGCCGGGCTCGGGGTCAGGGAGGCCCAGGCTCCGCGCTCGGCCAGCTCCGGGAGAAGGCACGAGGCCTGGGCTGGGGCACGCTGTGCCGGCTCCCCTCTGCCCGGGCGCCGAGAGCGGCCCGTTCACGTGACCGTGCTGTCTGTTCCGTCTCCCTCACCCATTTTCACCCATCCTTGAGCCTCACGCCTGTCTCTAACTCAACCGTGTCAGCTACCTAAATCACGCTCCTGGGGAAGGACAGGAGGCACAAAGAAGAAGTAGTAGTGGGGGGCAGAAGGTAAAAATTCTTGCCTGTCAAAACCTTCCAACGAGGCTCCCCAATTCTCACGGACAGCCCCAGACTCAAACACGGTCTTAAAGTAAGCATAAGAGCCCACGATAACTAGCCATTCAATCCATATGGCAAAAATTGAATCTATTCACTCACTCCAAAAGAGAGCGGTTATACCATTTCATGCTATGTCCCCACCGGGTATGACTCCGTGTCGGCACGCTGACGTTAGTAAACATCTCGAGTGCCAACTTACAACAGCATCCTTCACTGACCGGGATTTACACAGAGCTGTCCAAGTGCACACTCAGGGAGGTGCCCCCCCCACCCCCCCGGGAGCCTCCACCAGCAGGCCCCTCGGCCGGCCCCCTGCCTAGCATTCCCCTGGCTGCCTCTCACATTCCACTCGGGCCTCTGTGCCGGTGCCGCCTCCTCAGACGGCCTCCAGGACCACACTGTCCGAGATCACCCAGCACCTAGCGTCACACTCTGCCCCTTCACCCACAACCCCTCCTGCGGCCCGCGCCCATTACACTGCCTGACGTCAAGTTATTTATTCTCATTATCACACTGTCTGACTTCAAGCTATTTATTTTCCCACCGTAAGTTATTTATGCTTCCCCTTCGTCAACCCCATGAAGGAAGGGGTTTTGTTTTGTTCCCTATTACATTCAGAACAGCACCTGGTACATACACAGATCTCAATAAGCATCCACTAAATCAGTGAACAAAAATGAACAGTCTTATCATTGAGCTGCACAACTTGGTCCAGGCTTACTTTCGGATTTTAATTGGTCCCACATTTATTTTAAAACTAAGAGGACAAGGATTTTATGTGAAATATGCTCAAAGAGATATGTAAGATATTTAAACGTGTATGATATGGATACATAAAATGTAATTTTACCTCTTCTCAAAATTTTTAAATGTAATTAGTAAATATTTTGCTCTGGCTATGCTTACATTTGTGTTTCAGCAAAGTAAGAGATCCAAACCTGAACCTCCCAAACTTGGGTTTGAGAGAGAACGAATGGGTGGCGTTCGTCGTTTCTAGAAGAAAGCCAGTGCCCGGGGCTTCAGCGGGCTGTCCCGGTACCTCATCGTCCTACAGGTTTTCTAGCAGACACCGCGGTTCCCTGAAATCACTCCTTTCGTCACACACCGTATCAGGGTTCTCTCGGGACGCCCGACAAAGATGTCTGGCACCACATTGTTTGTGGCGGCGGGACTGGGGACAACCCAGATGTCCCACGCCGAGGGGCGCTCAGATAAACACTGCACGGCATGATGCAGCTAGTGATAGCAACAGCTCAAAACCTCACGCGCTAACTTGGGACGATGCCCACAGAGGGCTGTTACTAAGCGCGACAAGCTACGGACAAACGTCCACGTGATATGTATGATGCCATTTCCAGCAAAGCAAGTTATCAACCAAAAAACAGTGAGAATGATCAACGTTCTTCTCTGTACGTGGTCTCGCTGTGCTAATCTTGCACTTCCAAAATAACTCAAGACTTTAAAATTTTAAAAGAGCAGCGAGCACTCATTACAGTGGTGTCGTTTAAAACTCTGCAACGAGCACCCAAATGTTACGAAGACAACTTGTCAACGCGGTACAGGAGGCCCACTCCTAGGCTGGCAAGGAGGCACAGCATCGGAAGCATACCCAGGCAGCTGCAAGTTGTAGAGATGACTCTCTATACCTAACAAAAATACCTCCTCCTCAAATGCTTTTATTTAAGATTCTTCTAACAATGAAAACGACCAATTCTCAATTCTCGTCTCACTTCCTATTAGAACCACAAAAATGCATCCTATGTAATTTGCACAAAGCAACAAACGGTGATTTAATTATTGGGGGAACAAATCATGGCTAAATAATGGCAGCCTGCAGACTACTCAAAAGTGAGGAAAACTATGCTGAGACTCGAGTTTGCTTCCACAAGTTCACTACTCACCCCCAGCACCAAAGTTGACGACGTACTGAGAAAACAGGGCGTCCAGTTCATCATACTGTACGAGGGCATCTTCAAATTGCTGCAGCATCTCAAATACAAAGGCCAGTTCCTCCTGGTGATCCAAACAAAAGTTTTTAAAAAAGCAAACATGTCAGTCGGCTTTTTGAAACAATGTGTAGCCAGTAAAGATTACAACGGAGAAAAGCCTGCGGCGCTAAGAGTGACGCTCAGGCAGGGCGTGCCCAGGGGGTCAGTCGGTGGAGCCGCCGACTCTTGTTTTCAGCTCAGGTCATGATCTCACGGCCGTGGGTCCGAGTCCCAAGTCAGGCTCCAAGCTGACAGCACGAGGCCCCCGCAGGACTACACCGGCCCGAGGATCAACCACTGCTCCCAGAAGCCCTGGCACTTTTTCAGAACGGAATTTAGAATCTAAGACCTTATTAGCACTAAGTGGGTTTACCGCTACCGGGAAGTCATCTTTTCTCCAGGCCCTGTCAGAGGACGGGGCGAGGAAATACAAGCGTACGTACGATCCTCACACACACGGATCTATATTCCTGATCTATCCATCCACCTGTCCGTCCGTCCGTCCGTCCGTCCGTCCATCCATCCATCCATCCATCCATCCATCCATCCATCCATCCCACCATGGGTTCACAATGGTATCTCAGAGTCCAATCCGACACCATTGGGTCCACCTAGATTCTCCCCCTCCAGGTTTATAACTCTTAGAAATCAAGTGTAGATACACTTGAAAGGCGAAGTGACAAGGCCATCGGAAAGGTCGGTAACAGGTCACTCATCCCGTGAACATGAACACACGTAATTCCCTCATGTGCGCCCGATCACCCAAATACCACTAAGATATAAGCAATAGAGTCAGAGATAAACATCAAAATTTCTAATCAGAATTGGTCTTTTATTTGTTCAAAGTGCATTATTTCTTCAGTAATTAACACACAAGTGCAATTTAAATATGAAAATTTTTTTTGTCTCAACATGGTGAACAAGAATAAGGAAACCTAAGGGCCACGTTCCTGTCACTCTTTGCAGTGTTAGAAAGGTTCACTGGAAACTAGCCTTTATCAGAACCCCAGATTATAAGTCAAAACTACAGGGGCGCCTGGGTGGCTCAGTCGGTTGAGCGTCTGACTTCGGCTCAGGTCATGGTCTCACGGTTTATGAGTTTGAGCCCCGCGTCGGGCTCTGTGCTCACAGCTCAGAGCCCGGAGCCTGCTTCGGATTCTGTGTCTCCCTCTCTCCCTGCCCCTCCCCCGCTCATGCTCTGTCTGTCAAAAATAAATTAACATTAAAAAAAATAATAATAATAAATCAAAGCTACAGAGGAAATAAATGTCCCCGGGGAGCCCTGATGTAATCGGTGCCATGCAGGCAGTAGGCATCTTTGTCCTCAGGATCAACACCACGGCGAGGGCCCCTCTGCCTGAGACACTTCCATGGCGGATACCCCAGAAGGCCCGAGATACTAACAAAACCAAAATCACTCTGAGGGACAAGGCCCTCTCGAAAACAGATAGATGCTGAGCAGGAGAGCTGATGGCAGAATGACCCAGGAGACCACCTCTGATCTGCTTCATGAGCCCAAAGATGGAAACATCTGTTAGCTACTACCTTGTCTCTTGGTTTTAAAAACTATGCCGATACGAGCGACCACAAAAAGCCTGCCTTATTTATAAAGGAAGAGAAGACGGAAGCGTCTAGTTCTATACTTAGTCCCATACCTGGACCATGAAATAGTCACAGAAGCTCCAGCCTGGCTCCGTCCTCTTCTCCCTCAACGTCCTCATGTCGTCCTCAAACTTGCCCAAGTTTTTGGTAAAAGACATAAGAAGTGAGGTCCTGAGTTTGGTCAGGAAGGCATTCCAGGATTCCTGAGTTCGAGAAGAGTCCTTCAAGGGGTCGGAGAGCACGACACACCTGCAGAGACACGAACGGACGGTCTGGAAAACACTCTCCGAGCACAGCACGCAGCCCAACTGCTTCCGCCCCTACTTCCTTCCTTCGTTAACCGCTGGCAACCACCAGGCAGATGCTGAGAAGCCAGATTAGGAGAAGGTTTCATCGTGAACTGGTTTAGCACCACAGGAGCAGCGAGTGCTGCAGAACCCCGGCAGCGGGCGGGGGTATATGATGAGTCGTCTCAGATCCGGCCTCCAGGGCCCCCTGGAAGGTAAGGCGATCCCCACACAATCAGCTCCCAAGCCTCACTCGCACTGCCCACTTCACAAACGTCGCCGGTCCCCCGTACCTGACAGGACAGCACTCAGAGTTACTGACATGGCACACGAGGGTCGTTGCGGCCTGCCCCGGGCTGGCTGCCCAGCCCTTCTCACTATTCCTAGCCAAGCCCACCCAACGTCTCGAGCTCTACTCTCTCTTCATCCAGCACACTCCCGTTCACCCTTCCAAATCCGGCTCGGCCGACGCACGTCCTCCCGGAACCTCTCCCCCGCTGCCCTGTGACCCCACTACCCCGGCGGTGAGTGTCGCGCAGTATACACTCCCTCTCCATAGCTCCGTCTCTCCCCCTGGGCCCTAGGCCGCGAGCTCCTCAAGAGCAGGGTTTAGAAGTAATCAGTTAAATAAAAGCTTAAAGAATATGGCTTAACATGTAGGTATGATACAATTTCCCTACAAAAAGACTATCTGGGGGCACCCAGTGGGGGGACTCAGTCAGTTAAGCATCCAACATCGGTTCAGATCGTGATCTCACAGTTTGTGGCTCTGAGACCCGTGTCGGGCTCTGTGCTGACAGCTCGGAGCCTGGAGGCTGCTTCAGATTCTCTGTCTCCCTCGCTCTCTGCTCCTCCCCCACTCGTGCTCTGCCTCTATCAGAAACAAACATTAAAAATTTTTTTTTGTTTTAAAAAGACTATCTGTGGCACGGAAATACCAAAGGCACAAAATTACAAGTTTCCAATGGATTTAGAAAAGGCAGTATGTTCATCTAACAGGTTGGAAAACATAGATTTCTTTACCTTTTATGATAAAAATTTAGAAAGAAGATGAATAAACATGAACTCAGAAATGATTTTAAAATACTGATGCTGTGAGCTTCGATATTTCTCCGTGGTGAATGTGTTGCCTTATTTACTAGCAAGTAGCAAAACGGACCGATTCTAAGTCTCCGTGTGCCATCACAGCCTTTGGAGGAAGGGCTGGACCTCTGGCATCACAAACCAGCGGACCAAAACGCGAAGCCCACGGCCTAGATGATCCACCAGGTGAGCCACCAGTACCAGGAAGAAAACTTAAGAATCAGTAGCTGGTCATTCCAGTCACTCCACCCCACGGGCCTGTTACCACGAAAGACAAGGCGTCCCGCCAGCTCATTCCTACAGCCCCGAAGGACTGACGTGTTTTATGCCCTGCATGAGCTGCGAGAGTCTATCGGTTCGGCCATGTATCCTCAAGGCATCCTCCAGCCTGGGTCATCATCGACACGTACCCCTGACTGTCCCCTAAAGCCACAGGGTGGATGGGGAAGGAAACTGCCGGCAAACGCCGACCGCCCGGATGGTCCTCGTCTTCCGTGAGCCGGTGCTTACCAAGCAGACAAAACGTTCATTACGTTCTCTCTCTTATTGTGCCTTCAACTTGCACAGTTTCTAGATTTTCTTTTTCTAACAAAAAAGAACTGTGCTTCAGAAGTTCGCGTTAAGCCCAGGCGGTTAACTCAAGAGAGACAGCCCAGAACAGCTCACCAGACCGGCGGGCGCCAGCATGGAGAAGGGCTCCTCGGCGTGTGCTGGCGGCCGGTGCCCAGGGCGGCAGGGAGCCAGAGGCCCGGGCCTCCACCAGTCACCGGGGCCGCTGCGAACACAGCTAACGGGGCAGCCCTCTGACCCTTTACCAAACGCCTGAAGTACTCACCAAAAGCCTGAAAAATGCACAAATCGTTTGGGCCAAGCAATTTTCATTTTAGGGATTTATCCTAAGGAAATAACTAAGGACGTACACAACACCCGAGCTCAAAAGATGTTTACAGTGCTGTTTATAACAGGCGGTAACGTGTCTGTCCAGTAGAGGACTGGGTGAACAACTTCCAATACCATCTCTGCTATGGAGTGTTACGTGCTCACTGACAATAATGGTGGAGAAATACATTTATTGTTCACGGGAACATTTTTACAACGCATTAGGCGGAAAAAGCAAACACAAAATGTAACGCGTGGTGTATCACGTGCACACACACACACACACACACACACACACACACTACCCGTGTCTAAGCGTGCGTAGAGAGGAAAAGGTTGAAAAACACATACCAAACACCAAGAGTTAAGATCAATTTTCGTTTTGCTCATTACCTTCTTCTAATAATCCTACGATGAACGTGCAGTGTTTATAATCAGAAATTGCGTACAAGATTAAAGTTAAAGAAAACAGAAAGCCACCGCAGGGCCAGGTGGGCCAATGTTTCCAAAGGCCAGAAATCAAACAGGCTAATACAACAACTGTCAATACAGATATTTCCAAATTCGAAGGTATGGACCCAGCTCTTCACTGAAAAAATAATAAAGAACAGATTTGTTGAAGGTAGCTTGCGAATTAATGAAAATGAAAACGTTAGAAGGCATGTTTATATACTGAGAAATGCTGAAAATCTCAGGAAGTTGAATTTTATGTACAAAGAATTCGTCACTGAAGACAAGTTAGGTTTCAGTGGGCTCAGCAGGAACGTACTTTAAGCGATTAGATAAAATTACACCGTAGCCTTAAAAGGAGTCAATGGGCACTTTGAAAAAATTACAGAATTCGAACATCTCACAGGCTTAGACCAATCTGCCCCATTGCTACCAATTTATGTTCTTAATAAAATCCCAAAGAGACATGACCGGAAGGCCGTGTGGCCTGGCCGCCGGTGAGCCCCCCGGCTCCGCGGCCCCACACCCTGCTTCCCGTCCCTCCCCCCGACGGGGCCCAGAGCTGGGCTCCCTGCCAGCCTCCCGGCAGCCGGCTCCCCTTTCCAGAGCAAGCGAGCCCGCACAGCCAAACCACACAGGGAACGGGTCCTCAGTTCTGGGGTCTTGCGACATGCTAAGCCGATTCCTTTGGGACAACTGACTCAGGAATAACAGACCGTAGGAAAAAATCCCCCAAGTCCAGATGGCACAAAATTTCTCTAAGAGAAACCGTGAGCTCGACAATCTAACGTTTATCTCAAACTGTAAGCAAAACGAGTCTGAACATCACTCAGCGCCCACAACTGTGGGGAACATAAAAAGGACGCCCACAGAGGCTCCTTCCCCTGGAGAACCGTCGATCCACCGGGGGGCCCCGACACCGGACGCGGTCACGGAATTCTAAGAGCGCGTGGCAGTGTCGGTCGCTACTCCGGCCACGGGCCCGGGGTTTCCGCCCGGGCTCCTCCCCTCGCTCCGTAGCCCGGCCCCCTGCTCCACTCTGAGCACCTGCCACCGGGGCGACCACAGGTGTGGCGACGCAGGCGCAAAGCAACGCCCGGCCCGCCCGGCCGTGAGACCACACCGTCGAGCAGGCACCAGGAAGTCCGCCAGCCTGCCCGGCGGGGCCGTGGCACCGCCGAGAGGGAAGTGACCCCCAGCAGCCAGAACAGGGCCGGACAGAGCCGAGCACGGGGAAGGGAAGTCCACGCGACACAGCGGCCGCCGCGGTCTCGTGGTTCGCTTTTGAAGATTCTAAAGATACAGTCGGCATTTCAGAATTTTGGTTCTTAGGAACTCCGAACAGGTGTGAAGGTAAACACACGCACCACAGGCTTAAGGGGCCCTCCCGTACACAAGGACAGAAGGTGTCCCCAAGCCCTGGCCACACCAACACGCGCCACGGATCCTCAAAGGGAAGCCGCTGTGCGGTCTCTCCCGCCGCGGTCACCGGGCAGCACGCCGGGGGTTACAGCTGCCCGTGTTTCACCCAGCAGACCGGGAGCTCCATGAGCGGGGACCCGGTGTGCAGCACCCCCACGTGCTGACGTGTCAGGCGCCCCGTGCACTCGCTGAGGAAGTACCCCTACGCAGAAACCAGCCATCTCTATCACCCAGGGGTCTGCCAATGAGGTAAAATTAAAGATCCACTTACCTGTCACTCTGTTTATTACAAAAATCATTTCTTATTTTGTCCACAATAGAAGTTCGGGGAAGGATGTTGGTTTTGTTTTTTTTCTTGGCATCATTTTCAACTACCACTATGAGCCAGTCCACAGAGCTATGAGCTTTCAGAACATTCTGCCATTTGGTAAGGTCGTCTTTTACCGTAGCTTTATACACTTCGGTATCCTAAAAATAAATAAGTCACCGTGAAGGAAAGTTAATCAACGCCCTTTAATTTAACAGCAACACGTGTGTACTAACAGAGAACACATTGGCCACCGCGCTTTATAGCTTCGCGATGGGGCCCTCCACGCAGAGCCTGGCGCCTGTGGGTGCTCTGGGCAGGCCCAGGGACGCCGAGGGAAGATGGTTCCAGTGTCACAGAGGAAGAGACCGAGAGAGAGAGCCTAGTAAGCTGCCCAAGGCAACACAGTCCACTGGGTAAGTTGGGACTTTAAAACTCAGGTCTGGGGCGCCTGGGTGGCTCATTCAGTTAAGCGTCCAACTTCGGCTCAGGTCATGATCTCACGGTCTGTGAGTTCGAGCCCCGCGTCGGGCTCTGTGCTGACAGCTCAGAGCCTGGAGCCTGCTTCAGCTTCTGTGCCTCCCTCTCTCTCTGCCCCTCCCCTGCTCATGCTCTGTCTCAAAAATAAACATTAAAAAAAAAAAAAAATTAAAAAAAAAACAAAACTCAGGTCTGCTATGCCAAAGGCCCCGTGCACACCAACTACGTGATTAGTCCCATCCTGGCAAGTGCCATGTCAGTGGGGCTAAGCGCCCCCCACCACCACCCGGCTTGGGACCTGCAGGCCAGAGGCCGTGCACCTGCAGGAAGCCGGATGCCCGGGCCCCTCCGGGTGCCTCCTCCGTAGCCCCTTGGCCCTCTGCCGGCGCCCGGAACCCCTCGAAAGCCAATGCCACTTGCAGGCCACATGGGGGCGAGGCAGCCTCAGATGCAAACCCAGGGGAAAAGGACAACCTAGGGCTTCCTGAAAGCCATTCCAATTCACGAGGACCAACAGGGGAGCCGTCCTGCTCCTAAAAAGTCAACACTGAGATGCACTCAGAGATGCACACGCCGGCCTGCACAGAAAGCCCACGGGCCGGCCTCAGCCCCTCCACAGACAGGCGGAGACACAGAAAGTTTACTTGCTATCAGCAATGGTCTATAATTGCCCTTATGCTCCATAAATCCACTTGGCAAATTCAGAGTGAAAAATCTAAAACCAACATGCTTCACTTCCAAATCGGACAAACTGTAATTTTTAGCTATTATTTATAAATACATAGATTTTCCCCTTTTTTAATAGAAAGATTCTTTGTTATCCTGCCCATACTTTCTCTGGATTTTTTAGTCTCTCTTGAATATGCTAAAGGGAACGAGCCATGAACAAGAAACCTCAAATTCTGCACCCAGCCCCTCCTTTGGTTTAATCAGTAAGTGAAAAGTTCCAGAAATCGGTACTTATAATTTTTAGTCTGATTTTTAAAACCTCCGTATCCTCAGTTTACATTACATACAAATACAATCTGGAAAGATCTTTTGCTGAAAAATTAACAGGAAAGCCATCCCGCAAAGACCGGTTTTCTGAGACTCCACGTGCCCTGGAAGGCGTTCCTACGCCGCAGCCTCCACAGAAGGGCAGCTCCCGGACTGGATGCTCCCACTCCATGCTGCTGGTGCTCTGCCAGGCCAGGGGCCTAAGTGCATCACACCTGCAGAGTGAAACCAAAGGCCACAGACACCCCGACCGCTTTGAAATAGGCCGCCGCCACAGGGCTGGGACCAGGCACCCTCTGCCCAGCCCAGCCCTGGCTCCCAGGTCTACAAACCCGGGAGGGGCTGCCACACCCCCTGAGGGGACACCAGCATCCCCTCTCGGGACACTGTGCTTGGGACAGAGACCTCGCAGAGCAACAGGCAGGGCGGAGTCCCCCAAAGTTCTGGGGGAGATGAGCAGTGGATAATCTGGGCCATGGCTTCCAACAGTGAGCAAACCCCGCACATTACTAAAAAGACCCGGTGACCGTTCAGAAGAGCCCAGGCTGAGCCAATGAGGTGAAGGGTGTCTCCAGAAAGCAAAGCCAATACAGGAAGAAGCCACTGGCAGGGAGGGTGCAGAGTGGCCCCACCCGGGGAACCAGAGCCATGCAGGGCAAGAAGGGTATCAGAGTGCAAGATGTGACACCCCAAGAGAGACGATGAAGGCTTGGGGGCTGGCTGAGGTGTCAGAGGCCCGGACGGCAAAGAGGGCCTCCCTGTTGGGGTGACCTCATCTGGGTGTTGTGGGTCAGCTGAGGTGAGGAGGGAAGCGGTCCTGTGGGGAGCGTCAGCCCCAGGGCAGGGAGAGGGCACCTGTGGGGGGAGAGGAGCAGGACAGCAGTGAGAGAATGCTCAGTGACCGCGATTATTCGAGTAAGCAGACATACGCACGACAAGGAGTGCCTGGCTTCTCGGAGAAGGAAGTCGCAAACGTGGAAAGGAAAGGCACCAGGACTGCAATCGGAACATGCGTGTGTACATGTGTGTGGGGGCAGCCACGCCTGTGCACACATACGTGCTCCAGAGCAAAGGGCACGTCTAGTCCAGGGCTTGGTCTCTAAATACCATTTCCCACTAGAAGGAACCAGTGCTCCCTGGAGAAGCAGCTGACCCCGGGGCTTAGGCAGGGAAGGGACGAGCTGACCTTGGCACGTCTTGTGTTAGGGAGAGCTCCGAGAACAGGGACATGTCAAAAGGTCACAGAGGCCAAATCTGGGACAACGTGAGCACTCAAAGTGATACTAACAGTAACAGATTACACTCCCCAATTCGAAGTCAACGGGTGCAGACGGGACCTCAACCGATAAGCAGGACAGCTGCCTCCAGACACGGTGAAGTGGCAGGGGGCAGACCGACCCAACCACCGGAAACAACCAAAACACAGAGAGGGAGACACGGGAGGCGAGCCGTGCAGCGGGCCAGCCGAGTGCTCGGAGCTCCCAGGCGCCCCGCGCGGCGCAAACACAGGGCCCCGGACGCAAAGGCCGTGATGTCACAGGTCAGAGGTCAGGGGGCCCCTGGAGAGAGCGCTCAGAGGGGCTGACCAGCAGAGGAGTGTACAAACTACCCAAAGCCAGGAGAGACCCATCCAGACGGGACCCAACACCCACAGGGCCTGGGATCAGGGCCTACTCCCACAGACCACGCTGGAAACCTCCGAATCCGCAGGGCATTGGGAGGAGAACTGAGGAAGGAAGGAGGAATTAGTCTCAGGCTGACCGCTGTTTCAGACCCCCAAATCATGAAAGCAATAGCTAAAAGGATCTGAAGTAACTTAATTACGCAAAGCTGAAGAAAATGTCTAGAATTCCAAAAATGAAAGACTCACGATGTCTGGAATCCCATAAAAAATTGCCAAGCAGGCAAAGAAGTAAGAATATATGATCCATGACAAGTAGAAACATCAACCAACAGAATGGATGTGGCAATGACACACGTAAGAGAATTAGCAGACAAAACCATGAGAACCCTTACTGCGGCCATATCCAGTGTGTTCAAGAAAGCAAAGAAAAAACCGATGTTAAGCTTCCGCTTAACATGGAAGATAATTGTTGAAAAAGGCAAAGACCCCTAAGGATCTTCTAGAGCTGAAAACCACGGCGTCTGAACTGCAAAATACCCTGAGTGGGGGGTTACGAGCAGATTAGATACCACAGACTGAACAATTAGTTAACTTGAACACACAGAAGCAGAAACCATCCAAATGAGACAAAGAGAAACACTGCAAAGCCATCAGCACAGTGTCCCTGAGCAGTAGGGCTTCCAGGGGCCAATATGTGAGTGACTGGGGTCCCCAGAGGAGACGAGAGGCAGGAACAGAACAAGTAACTACAGTAACGACCAGAAATGTTCCAAATTTAAATTAAAATTACAGACCCACAAAGCCTAAAAAAAATCCACGCACAAGAAACATGAAGAAAAGCACACCAGGGCATATCACACAAGGTTTAACACCCATGAAGAGAAAAAAAAATCTCAAACTGCAGAAGGGAAAAAAAAAAAAAAAAAAAAGTTTATGTGAAAGTAGCAAAGACTCCTCCTCATGGGTCACAATGTAAATCGAAACACAGCGGCTGTCAGAGCAGAATTGTACATCCAGTAAAATATTCTGCAAACATAAAGACTTGCTCAGATCTGCAGAAACTGGAAGGACTCTCCCCTGTGCGCCAGAAAGGGGGGCAGGCACCAGAAGTGGTAACTCAAAGAGAGACTCATCTCTACAATGTAAGGGTATAAGGCAAAACCAGTAACAACCAGCCTGGAGGACGGCAGGGACAGCAGGGACCAGCAGGCAGGTGCAGGCGCACACTGGCAGGAAGGAGGGGATGCCCAGGGTCTGCACCACGAACCGGAAAGTGACTGCTACAACAACACGGGAGTTTCTCTCTTCATCCTAAAATTCCAATTATGATCAACTTGCTCCAGAAAACTTCCTTAATAGATAATAAAACTAATGCAAAACAACCGCAAAACACGGGCTCCCTACTAGGAAATGTAATTTTAAGAGGGAAAAAAAACCCCTCATTCATAACGTCTACGAAAACTTTAGCAATAAAAATGCAAGAATTAGGGAAAACATCAGAACACATGACTGAGGGCGTAAAAAAAGGGCAGAGACAATGGAGAATAAAACCACATTCCCAGATGGGAAGCTTTGTGATTACTAAAATTCTTCCCCAATCAACCCGAATTTACTCAAGGCGATCCCAACCAAACCCCTCTGCTCTTTCCTTTTCTTTTCGACCTCTCCTCCTGTTCTGCGTGGCTTTGTGACAAACTGCTACAAGGCGACCCATCCCCTCTCTCTGCTCACACATCTACAGTCTACACAGCATGGGGCACCCAGCTCCTCTGCCCCCCCTGTGGCGCCTGCAGGCTGCGGACAAGGCAACGAGAAGGCGATCATTGCCGGAGTGCAGGGACCGACGCTCCCCAGGTGGCCTTCCCGCGGGGACACCTGACTTCCTCATGGAATGGTGGCTGGGGGAGCACCTGGGGAGCTCAGTCAGTTGAGCATCCAACTCTTGGTTTCAGCTCAGGTCATGATCTCGCGGTTTCGTGGGTTTGAGCCCTGTATCTGGCAGAGCCTGCTTGGGATTCTCTCTCCCTCGTTCTCTGCCCCTCTCCTGCTTGCATTGTTTCT